TCAGTGTCTGAAATGTCAGCCAACAATGAGCTGCTGACTAGAAAATAATCCAAACGTGAGTGAGAGTGATGGACATGCGAAAAAAAAGTATACTCTCTACGGTTAGGATGAAGAGATCGCCATGCATCACAAAGCCCATAATCACTCATGTACTGTTTAACTATGTTAGTGGATTGCCAATTCCGCTGAGTCCCAGCTGTACTGAGCATGTCTGTTAAAGAGTTCATCCAAAACTTAAAATCGCCTCCAAGTATAAGTGGACAGTCCAAGTGTTCGGAGAGTACAGAGAAAAAATTATGAAAGAATGGAGGGTCATCATATTTGGACAGTATATGCTGACAATACATAAGCTTTGGTTCTGTACAGATATTTTTAACATTATAAATCTACCCTCTGGATCAGAGACTGTGAAACTGGTGTTTTTGTGTATTAAAATAGCTACACCTCTTTGCCTAGAGTTATAGCAGGCAGAGAACATGTTAGGAAACTCAGGTGTCTTAAGTTCATCTGCGGATGTTGCAGATCTATGAGTCTCTTGTAACAATATTACGTCTGCTTGCACTCTCTTTAACTGATCAAAAATCTTTAATCTTTTCTCTATGGAGCCAGCTCCATGTACGTTCCATGAGACAAATCTTAGTGCACCCATAGATGTGTGTGTGAGTAGCTAAAATATGACGCCTTCATGTGAATAAGTTGGAATAAGTATCTAAATGTATAAAATAGTATGTTAATAAATAACAGAAAAGTAAATAATAATAATACTAATAATAATAAAGATCCAACAGTGTTTGTGGTTGTATTATTTGACACATAAATTATGATATTGTGCTGTGAATTTAATATATCTGTGTGTGTGTGTGTGTGTGTGTGTATGTGTGTGTGTGTGTGTGTGTGTGTGTGTGTGTGTGTGTATGTGTGTGTGTGTGTGTGTGTGTGTGTGTGTGTGTGTGTGTGTGTGTGTGTGGAGTCTGACGCAGTGTTGGAAAGTTGTGTGGTTTTGCCGTACAGGTGTAAAGGTGCAGAAGCAGATAAAAAGGAAGGGAAAATACAGATACAGGTTAAAAAAGAAGAAATAACTAAAAAGAAAAGGTGGTCGGGTGTGAAGTGGTGATGAACAGGTGATCTTATCATCTACAATACGGATTTAGCAGCTGTTTAATCCTGACGTGATCAAACCCAGTGAATCCTGATAAGAATAATAAATGTCTGACCTGATGTTGGGCTAAAACAGCCAGTCAGTCACTCCTCGCTCCTTGTAAAGCTTATTGTCCACATAAAGCTTATCCACCGAGATGACAGCCCTCTTCCCATCCTGGATAAACTTTTTGCGCAGCGGAAAGAGAACTCGGCGCCGATCCAGGATTTCTTTAGGGAACTGATCATTAACGCTGAAGTCTTTCCCTTTGAGCTCTCTTCCGTGACTTTTAACAAGATCCTTCTGCTTAAAATGTTCAAATTTAGCCACGATGGGACGAGGTCTTCTGCTGTCCACTCGTCTAGCTCCAAGGCGATGTACCTGGTGAAAGGTGATGTTTTTTACCGTTTCTTCGGGTATCTTCATTTGGGTCTGGAGAAAGTTTTTTATTGTTTGCTCGCAGTTCTCCGCCCCTCCCGCCTGCTCCGGCAGACCTGCGAACACCAGATTATCCCTCATGCTGCGGGCCTGAAGGTCCAAAACGTCTCCTTCAGAGTTTTGTTGTCCTGGGTGATCCGCGTCATTCCCTCTTTCAGGGAAGAAACGGACTCCCGCAGAGACGCATTCTCAGCAGCGAGCTGCTCCACCTGCTCCTGACTGAACTCCAGAGATGTTCGGGGGTTCTGAAACTCCTGGTGTAGAACCTCGAGCAGATGAAGTCGCCCCTCAAATCCCAGAAGCCGTTTATCAATAGAATCTAATAATTCTAATACGTCCTTCCGGGCAGATGAGGCCTCAGGCGAGTCCTGAGGACGGCTCCTCTTGATCCCGGGGGTTTCAGCCTCAGCTGCTGATTTCTTCGGACCCATGACGAAAACTTCAAAAACTTTGTCAATATAATTTAACAAACTTTCTAAATTTCCTTCACTTACCTCCAGATTGAGTGAGTTATACTTACCAGATTATTTTTTCGTTGTCAGTAGTTAAATTAGGGAAAAATGCATCTGAATTGTTTGTGGGTGTTTGCTAACGAGCTGCCATCAGCTTCAAACGCTGCTGTGTCCGGTGATCGGCCGTCAGCGCATGCACATCTCCCCAACCTACAGAATTTATTTCAAAGTACTTCTGCTAGTTTATAAATCCCTCAATGGCATGGGGCCAGAATACATGTTGGATCTCCTTCAGGTATATGTGCCCAGCAGGGCTCTGAGATCCTTAGGAAACGGTTACCTGGTAGCAAGGGCGTCAGTTTGCTTTCAGAATTGCTGGGGACAATAACCATACACTTGAGTGGGGTTTAAAAATTGCTGGGGACAATAAAGTAGGCTAGCACAGGGGTCGGCGGCTCTGGAGCCGCATGCGGCTCTTCCATCCGGCTCTCTGTGTTTGTAAAATAATGAATGGATATTTAAATAAAATGCTTTATATTTTACTGCATTAATTTTACATCTGTAAGCTAATTCTAAATGTAAAGATTGTCTGCGTAAACCTGAACAGGTCCAACCCGGTCTTACTGCTGAAGAGGATGTGAGATTCTGGGATTCTCCTCAGACGGCTCCTGGATGCGTCGCCACATTGGAGACAGGAACAAGCACTATTCAGCCAAAGTTTCATAATCAGGGAACATTTTCTAAGTGACAAGTCTCTCTGAGAGACCGGGTTTGGAAAACGCTCGCTTCAGTGGGAGGAATCTTCCCGCATGTGCTCTGCGTGGCTCTGGGGTTAATCAGGTTTAGTTGTTTCTCTTTGCAACAATCTTCACAAGAAGGCAAAACAGTTAAACGGCAGGTTACAGGTATTTCCATTTGACTTTTTATTTTGACAGATGAACTCAAGGATGTTGCTTGGTTTGAAAGAATCACCCCGACGCACACTGATGCCCATGGATGAGCTGACATTTTAATCGTTGACGCACATCGCGGAGGTAAAATATTCCCATCAGAACATCAGAGCTTTATACTGGTTAAGCGTGGCTCGGAGCGCCCACGGTGGACAGTGAGCTGAAGATCTGAGGGGTTCGCAGCGCAGAACCACGGCGCATGCGATAAGATTTCCTCCCACTGAGGCGGTCTGGAAACCCGGTCTCTCTGAGGGATGTGTCACTTGGAAAAATGTTCTTTTTATGAAATTATGAAACTTTGGCTGAACAGCGCTTGTTCCCGTCTCTAATATGGAGACGCATGACGCGTAGAGACATTTGATCACGCACAAAGTTTATGTGGAGCAGAAGCAGTCGGGCCACGGCAGGTGAAACGTTCCTAGCCTACATGAAGTGAAACTGTTTAATTGTAACTTTAATACGTTACTGGACACGCTGGTCTGGTTGGTTAGACCAGTGTTTGAAGTGGAAAACACACACACACACCAATTAAAATAATGCTGATAGCGTGGACTAGAAGACAGGTGATGGTTTTATTTAAATGATGATCAGGCTGCTGTAAAATGTAATCTCCATCCACATCCAGACACAATTATCCTCTATTCTTTCTCTAGTTGCTCTGCTCTTGTCTGGGCTGACGTAGCTGACGGTGCGCGCGGCGCGCCTAACTAGCGGCTGATGCACATTTTACACATTTGGAGAGGTGGGCTGGATGCTGTGCGTTTACTGGAAGATGGTCCACTTAACACACGGGTGTAGACTACACATTAATGACAAATGAATGAAAATTAAATTGTGAGTTTTTACTTCATATTTTATAAATAAAAATGACGGGGAACACATTTATGACGTCTTTTTAAACTAAATTTTTTAGCGCGACCTGCCTGCTTCACTTAAGTCACTGCTTATTAAGGTCCGTCCAGAATTACTGTGGGAAACGGGTAATAATGGCTCTTTGATGGGAACAGGTTGCCGACCCATAAGATCTGAGCTGGTAAAACAAAAATCCTCATCAGCAGGCGTTTTTGAAAGTGTGTGTGTGTGTGTGGGGGGGGGGGGGGCACAGCTGCCAATCACAAATTTTGCCGGGGACATGTCCCCGGCGTCCCCGGTTAAAATGACGCCTATGCCTGGTAGAACCTCGGCTCAGAACCAAATAGGGTGAAGCTGCTTTTAGCTATGCTGCACTCAGACTGGATCTGCTTCCTCGTGTCCTCAAATGCATCCCAACTCTAGAAACGTTTAAATCAAAATTGAAAACCTTCATGTTTCATCAGCCTTTGCATAAATGTTCTTATGCTGTGCGTTCTGCGCTGTAACTGCTCGCCCTTTACCTTTGTTTCTTCTTCGATTTTAAATTGTATTTTCTGCCACGTTGATTTTAATGTAGGCCTACCGGCTTTTCTTGCTCATGCAAAGCCCATTGAGTTGCCTTTGAGTATGATTTGTGCTATATAAATAAAGCTGCCTTGCCTTGCCTTTATTCTACTCAATCACGCATGCGCAGATCACCGCAAACGTGGTCTAACATTAACCAAAAGGCGGTTTTAAAAGGAACGAATGAAATAATTATCTAATGTTTACGTTGGTTGTCATGGTGATGCGTAGGAGGCGGGTCGTTTCTCTGGCTCGTGACGCTCAGAGTGCGATACGAACCAATCACGGCTTTGCTCTGCTGCCGTGCTGACGTCACCGTTAAAGCCAAATGTACCGTTACTTGGCTGCTGCTGAAACTCTCCAACTGCCGGGACAGAAGATAATGGCTACATTCCTACGAATTTCCAGCTAAAGCCTCGTCGTCTGTTCAGCGGTATCCTTCTCTTCCCACGGCATTTTGGGATAATGGTGTAAAAAGAAGCAGAGTCCGCCGGATGCGTAGTTTCTGGGGTGCTGTCCGGTTTGATCGGGATGATCTCCAGCTAGGGGTGAGTGACTGCGGCTCCTCCACCACCATAGCGCTGATGTAGGCGCAGAGCGCAAACCCGACTCCTCCACTCGGCTCATCCTCGCGCAGAGGTCGCGTTTACTTTACGAAACAGACGAAAAACGTACCTTTAAAGGCAACAACAGCGAAGTAACTACGAAATTGAGTTTTTATTTGTTTATTTCCAAAATAGCTGCTTATGGTGGAGAATGGCGGCTGCACCAAAGTTCCAGTATCTTTTAATTTAACCCAGCTTTGTTTTCTAATCGTGGGGTGAGAGTGGTCCGTGTGGTTTGTCGCTGAAGCGGGTCTCCGTGGCTGTCATGGCTACGGCGACGCATTCCTCTCCGGTTAGCTGGCAGCACGGTGCTGTGTGCGCACTGGCGCAGTTACAGCGGGAACGCAGGTAACTTTACTTTGTGCTTCCTGCCAGCTTGTCCCGCTCATGAAGCAGCCGTGCGGACCGTCAGCTCCGTTAGTAGAGTAGACACCACGGTACCGGGACACGGATCTCCTGACGGTGTCATGTAACGTTCAGACACACCGGGGCCACACGCCAGCCGGTTCCCCTTACCTCTGGGTTCACAACACTCCATTTCATTAGGAAGTTCACCAATAAGTCATTTTGTTGTCCAACGCTGTTGCGAACAAACAACAACACCAGATGTTGCTGCTGAATGAGACAAAACACACACCAGTTATAAAAACTACGGACAACTTTCTCTGATGCTGTTTCAGGATCAGTGCTAGGAGATTCAGACATGTCTGTGGAGCTCCTCATGTCCTGTAGATCATGTCCCTCACTTCAGGCTGGATCTGCTAATCTGCCTGCTGCACCAGGGCTCGGACCTTCATGCTGCTGGCCCAGGTCCACTAAAGCTTTAATGAGAGTCCTTTAGGAGCAAACTGGAATGCCAGGGGGTGTTAAGAGACCAGTAGAGGTCATAGGCGTTTGCTATATTTACTGGCTCTGTAACATGATCTGTGCCATTTTGGTTGGCTGTGCTCATACCATCTATCCTTCACTCCGAGTCCACAGTGTCCCAGGTAGCCCGTCACTTTGCTTTCTGTCTGTTGACCTGGCTGCCCAGAACAAGGGTGAGCCTCCTAAAACCAGCGTCACCCACCTTTCCTTCTTTCAGGTAACCTGCTTGATGGTTTAGATGAAACACAGTCTGGCTGTTTGTGCAGCTTTGTGGTATGTGGGCACCGGGACACGAGTTAGAGGATAATGTTTCAGACGTCCACACTTTTCTTGCATGAGTAGAAGGATATTGGCTGTACATACACTCTAAAAAACCCTCTAAGCTGTAGTCGGCTGTGATGGTAAAATCATGTTCAGAATCTTAAATATATGGAATCAGTTTCTTTCTCTCTGAGCTTCACTAAGAAGCTACTTACTGGAATAACTAAGGCCGTCAAGATACCACTTTCATCTCTCTTGCTTCTTGTTTATTTGTTAGTTATGTGTCCTTTTGTGTGACACGTCACACACGCGTGTTCTTACAGAGCTGACCCGGGTCTCAAAGCTGCTGTCTGCACACTGAAGGGTAGCAACAGCAGGATGAGCTGCCCGTTATTTGGGCTTGACACTCACCGCCAGCAGCAGGCACGGCGTTGACACAGTCACACGTCTGTGTTGATCACAACGTTATTTAAGACGTCAGAAACAGTTTTAGGCTTCATGGCCTTGTAACTCACAGAACTCTAACCCAGAAGGTTGGTTCTTCACATCAGCTCTCTCTGGTTTTACTTCACTGCTGTGAATACTGACGACAGTCCTCAGTCATCCAGGTCATGGTAATCCCAAAAAGTTCAAACTTCTTCAAGAAACCAGAGACGTCCAGTTGCCTTCATCCGAACCCTTCCGGACTTCTGTGAAGGATTTTCTCTGTGGTTTGAATTTGTAAACTGCAACAGGTTGTATGATGTCAGAAGAACCGTGGAAAGGTTGTAAACTATAGTTGATAGGGACGTGTGCGGGTGACAGTCTGGCGATATGATGCGTGTGCAGGGAGACGATACGATATATCACAACATATTACATTCAGCCAGATGGTATTAGCAATGTTTTTAGACCGAAATGATTGTAGCCCAAACTGATACGTAACATGTTGGCCTTATGTGAGCCTGTGTGTGTGTGTGTGCGTGCGTGCGTGTGTGTATGCTAGCGACTCCGCCCCCTCAGTCTGCTAGGCAACAGCATTTGTTGCGTTTTTCAAACAGGAAGTGGGAGCAGAGTAATACTCTGGTAGGGGGTGACTTGCTCTTTAAGGTATTCCACATGAATAATATTGCGGAAAGGTTGAGACGTCTTTAGTTTGACCAGCTCAGTCTGATGAATACAGTCAGCATAATTCATTTTAACTTCCACAAGTTTAATCCGACTAAGTGAACAGTACTGAATGTAAAGTCCGTCCTATCTAGTTGCATCATTAACAGCACCTTCCCCGCCGCCGTGAAATAAAGATAACATGTGATAAACACAAAAATGAAAACAGACTTGGACAAATACATTTATTTTCATCGGCTGAACTCTTATTTTTCTCAGTTTGAGTTAAAACAACACCAAACACTTTTTGTCCAAAACTTTTATAGACACAAACTTTTAGTGGTGTTTATGTTGCCGTTACAACAAAGTGAGAAAAAATGTATTTTGGGACTTCTCGGCTAACTAACAGCTAAATGTTGGCGAGGTGAGTTAGCTTGAGTTGCTTCAGCTTTTATTTGGTGGAGGATGTATTTCTGTGTGCTGCAGTGGGGTGGAGGGTTTGGTGCTAGGAAGATCTCATCCCTGCTTTTCGGGGATGATGTAGGGTCATCGAAATATGACCTTCAGCTCTTACTGGAAGGCGTGAGCTCAGTGTGAAGTGGCTGGGATGAGGGTCAGTGCCTCAACGGTTCTCAACACAGAAAAGGAGGGGCAGTTTTAAGTTTCTCAGCATCTTGTTAAGGAGTGAGGGAAGGAGGGAGCCAGAGACCAACAGCTGGATCAGCAGAACCGGTCTCATGGTGAAGAGGAAACTAAACAGGAAGGCTTTGGGTTTACCTAGGGCCCTAGACATCCATATTCATTTTATTTTAATAAAGTGCTCTGGTTCTGCTGAGCATCAAGTGCTTTTGCAACTACGGAGTAAAAATGGCTATTTTGTTGCTAATTAGCAGGAAATATCTAGAAGAAAGTTCTACAGAAAGTAGCTAAGGGTCCTCAGAAATGTAGCTAGCTTTGTCACTAGGCGGCACTGCCTCTCTGCTGCTAAAGCTACGGATAGCAAATGCTACGGGCGATGCCTGAGCGTGAACGCGCATGAAGCAGCCTGCTCGACCCGAGCATCTCTCTTTTTCTGTGGTTTTACAGAAAAACAGGCAATCACAGTAAAAATGCCAGGGCTCATTCTACAGGACCAGGGCGTTGCAGGAGAATGTATGAAGAAGACATTTATTATTTCTATTCATGTTTTGGCTGTCACACTTCCATCATGCCCCTTTAAGGTTATCACTCATCTTTTTTTAAAAACCTTGCTAAATCAGGTGTTATTGTGTCTACAGTCAATGTTTATAAACAAAACAGGCGAGGAGAGATGATGTCAGGTGCGTGGAAGAGAATGGCTCTCGGAAAGTATTTGCTCCTATCTGGAGTTCAACACTGTCCACAGCAACCCGACGGATGGACTTTTGCATGATTTCATAATGATACCACACACACACACACACACACACACACACACACACACACAGCTCACTTCTGATAGAAGTGGAGGTAAGCTAGCAGGAGATAGTCACACCCAGTGTGTGATGGGAACGGACCGGTTTTCGTTCCGGTTCTGCAAAGACCAAAAATCACTCCGGCTGTGGTGCAGTGTGGGTCGGGATGCAGGCCTCTGTTTTTTCAGACACCGCATGCAGATATTCATGAAGTTGAAGAAATTACACGAGCCAGACAGGAAGTGAGATGTGGTTCAACGAGGTACATCCAATTTCAAAATAAAACCTGTTTTGCATTGTTTTTCACAGTATATAATTGTTTATGCTAGTATATTTTTAAACATATTATGTCAAATTTTAATGTGAATTTGCGCGAACCCCTGGGATTTGGTGATCCCTTGATAGCAAATTTCCAGAGACGTTCTTCACACAATCTGCTGTTGATGTAAGTAGCAGTCAGTCGGAAAGCTGTACGGAAAATGGACCACGTTCATTCCACACTCAGTGTAAATGAGGTGGTTAGAGGGAGGGTGAGGTCTCAGACATCCAGGAGGGACTCAGAGTAGAGCTGCTGCTCCCTCACATCAAAAGGAGCTAGTAAAGGTGGTTGACACTGGAGAGATTATATCTTGAGCATGGCCTGGGAATGCTTTGGGATCCTACTGGAGGCGCTGGTGGAAGTGTCTGGGGAGGGGAAAGAGTGGGTTTCTTGTAGGACTGTTGATCTTGTGAGCCAGGCCCAAATAGAGGTTGAAGAGTGTGTGTGTGTGTGTGTGCGTGCGTGCGTGTGTGTGTGTGTGTGTGTGTGTGTGTGTGTGTGTGTGTGTGTGTGTGTGTGTGTGTGTCTGCTCTGTCTTCTCCATCCCCAGTGAGTCGTGGAGGATGGCTGCTTATACTGAGCCAGGATTCTCTGGAGGTTTCTTCCTGTTAAAAGGGAGTTTTCCTCTCCACTGTCGCTAAATGCTTGCTTAGTATGAGGATTGCTGTAAAGACTCTGACACTAGTCAGTGACTCGATGCGACCTGCTGGGCTCCTTATATAGGAAACATTTTACTGGTTGGCGTAATGAACTGGCCTGTATTGGGATGTTTACTATGAAGTACCCTGAGACGACTTGCGCAATATAAAGATTAACAAAAGAGTGAGTAGAAGGGACCATAAACACACTTCGTATTAATTCAGACAGAGTCAGTATACAGTTAAAAAGGAATTGTATTCTTTTCTAAACTAATGATGAACAGATATGAATAATGAGATGGGATGGAGCGGATATGAGGTGATGGAGTGTGATGTGTGAGGTGGTGTGATGTAAGCTAGATGTTTATCAGAATCTTTGTAACTGAAAGAAATTGTGAAATCTGGGTGTCAAAGAATTTGTTGTCTGCTATAAACTAGAGAGTTGATTATTAATAAAACAACATCAGATGCAATGTGTTGTGTCTACAAACCCTGGCAGAGACCCCCAGCAGATCCGGACTGCCAGAAGTCGGGTGGACCTCACTGCACCTGAAGCCAGTAGATTAACTTGGATACGACCCGTCCAGTTTTGAGGTGTCTCCAGGTCACAACAGTAGCTGGAATGCTTGTCTGCGTCCAAAGTGAAAATGGCTGTTAGGGAGCCGACTGGCTGTGTCAGCTTGCAGCGTGCAAACAGGTTGACTGCATGTTAAAGAGATGTTTCAAAAGAGGCTTCTTTCCCGATTTGGCCGAATCGGGTTCAGCTGGAAACGGAATTAATCGGGATGTAAATCCTGTTTTAATAAACCACCATGCTATGATTTCTGGCCATTCTGGCAAATCAGAATGTGCCATGTCTGGAAGGCTTTACCAAACATCCCTCAGAAAGCCCCGCCTTCCTTCAGATACAAGCTTCTTAATTCTGTGAATAAAGAATCTTTAAATGTTATGTGAGGTGAACCTTACCGGGTAACTTATGAAGATGTGTGTGAGTGTAAACTATGATTAACGTGTTAAATCAAACACATACTGATTTGTGATATAAATGGATCATTGTAAGAACAATATTAATTTCAAATTCATTGATTTAAGCACATGTCATTCAAACGCCTGATTCAGACATCCTATTCATTCATCACATATGATTATTTATATCATGGGTTGTAAAAGTCTGGTCGGATTCGCGTTGACTCACTTTTATTCAGAGAGACGAATCCAGCAGTCTGACTTTAAGCAAAGAGAGATGAGGCTTTTGCGTCTGGTGAGACCATGACAGTTTATTTATGTCTACGTTGAAGAACAACGAGCGAGCAAAAGGTTGATGTGTGCGTCTGGATCCTCCAGCTGGCGCAACCCTGACCCAGCAGTTCCGGCGTGCATGAAAGTTTATGTTGTGTCAATTCGATGGTGTAAATTCACCCTTTTTATTCATTACACCAGCCATGCTCCTGATGCCATGTTTGGGTTTGAGTACTTGAGC